TTTCCCTTTTCTTCTAGGTCGCTTTGTCGATTTATATAAAGCACCTGTTATTTCAACATTATATTGTTGACTATAGTGGCAAGACCAATGTCAGAGACAGGTAGATTTTGGGTGGCTTGGCTCTGTATCCTGACAGCTCTATTATTCTTTGTCATTTGTCAGCAGCATCTTAAAACCCAGAAAAAAATCTACAGAGACCAATTGATCCATCCCTCTGTCTTCACACTGCAAAAGGATTATTTTTCCTTCCTAAAGTACTTGAGGCCCAAAGAGGTTAAGGGACTTTCTGAATGTCCCTCTGTTAATAGTAAAAGGCAACATATAGCCCATACCTCCACACACTCTTATGCTATTCATTGTGCCCATGAAAGACAAAGTAAAACTACGTGTTTTATGCTGTCCATAGTTTGCAATCTTACCTTGAAAAAAAAGTCATCTACACATAAAACCCAAATTATTATATTCCAATGAATGAAGTCTACCAGCTACGTGGCCTGGGATAAAGTACCAACTTCTCTAAACCTCAAAATCCAATCTCCTAAAATGAAGAAAATAATAACTTCCTAGAGTTTTTTGAGGACTAAATGAGTTAATACATAGAATTACTCCTTGGGGCACCTGAGTGGCTCAGTTGGTTAAGCGACCAACTTCGGATCAGGTCACCATCTCGCAGTTTGTGAGTTCAAGCCCCGTGTCGGGCTCTGTGCTGACAGCTCAGAGCCTAGAGCCTGCTTCGGATTCTGTGTCTCCCTCTCTCTCTGCCCCTCCCCTGCTCACTCTCTGTCTCTCAATAACAAATAAACGTTAAAAAGAAAATTAAAAAAAAAAAAAGAAGGCTCCTAAACAGTGCCTGGTGTGCATATATATATATATATATATATATATGGAATTTGATAAACAGTAACATTTATTATCACCAAATCCTGGTGATTTAGATATTAAAATAATTTCCCTTACAGCTTGAATGAGAGGCATTTAGGAAAAATAAAGTACTACTTTAAACTTCACGTAGTAAACATGAAATATTAACCCAAGAAACTGTAGGGGCTAGGTACACAAGCAGCTACCAAAAGGGGTTATATAAACATGGCATTAACAACTGACAAAAAGGAAAAAAAAAAGATTGATGTGATGATGTGAGGTTCTTTGCTTGAGGTTGACAGTAAAAGAGGAAAACTTTGCTCTTACCAACGTGCTTTGCAGTTATGATCAAATTTAGCAAAGCGTGACCCCATCAGGTGGCAACGTGGTTTCTCTTACCTTAACTGAAGGCAGTCCATCCGAAATCCCTGACTTCTTCAAAAAACACGTAGGAATGGACAAAAGCTCAGAGGTGGAGACACATGTTGTGTAGGAGGGGCAAAGTACAGTGGCGCTTTGCATGTGCAATTACGTAAGTTTTAAGACATAGCTCATGGGTAGCAAATAAGAGCAATAAATCCTCTGGTATGCCAGTCATTTTCCTAGCGGAGGCTCAGGTGAGACCTCTCAGTGTGGTGCCGCACCAATCTCGGGGAGAGGCAATGCAGTCATTGTAGCCGCTTCTCTTACCTTTCTAACGGAGTCTGTCTGGGTCTCTGTGGTGCAGAGCCCGGGGTGCTTCGGCCTCACTCCCAAGTTCTAGCGATGTCTCGTTCCTAAATACTTGTTACTTGTTCCTCTCGCGAGGAGAGGGGAAGTCAAGAACAACCTCGGTCGCCATCTTGGTGACGTCACTCTCCCTCATTCGAGCAGCAAGTGATAACAATTAATCTCCTTCACCTCTTTGAAATGCCCTCTTCCCTGTCATTTAAAGCACCACACCACCTAATCATTTTTATTAGTAACCCTTCTAGTCGTTCAATTGTTACTGTAAAGATGCCAAGCTCTTTCTTTCCAACCCCCCAAAATAAGCCCCATCCAATGACAAAGTTTTTAAATATCTTGGTGAATGAGATTCCTTTTACTAGTGGAATCTGGATATTTCTACTTTCTACTTACTACATTTCTACTAACGCCAGGACTGAATTTTGACAACAATTAGCCAGGAATTTACAAGACACAAGACTGCTTCTTCACAAAGAGACCATTAGCATTATAGATCAGCATTCTTTTAAGAAGGAAAATTCAGATTGGTTTTTAACTTTGTTGGGACTCATTTACCCTTTTGCTCCTTAAGTGTACTGGGCAGAGTGGTGAACTGGTGAGCCCTGGAAATGCCCATTGCCATCATTCAGAGTTCTGATAACCCATTTTTTCCTTCATATCAGCTCTTCTGCATATAGAACAATTCATACACTTGCTAAAGCTAGAAAAGTGAAGCCTCCAGAGATATTGCTTTCCAATAAAGTAATAATGCTCCATTAGCTGTTTTGCTGTTACACGTTTTACCACAGACGACGACTCTTTAAGCTGCCTTCCCGTATGTGGCCCTGTGATAAATTTTATCAGTGGTCAGCGGGACAGAGTTGCAGGCTGGGCAGTAGCACAGTGGCTTTTTATCTAACTAAGTTCCCCCTACCATGCCCCCCACCCAAAGCGGCATTTTCTTGGCATAATTTATGTTGTGGCATTTCTGTCAGTAGATGTGGTGTCAGCAATTTCTGTTCCTAATGGAAGTTTACTTGGAAATGAGATACTTAGCCATAGAATAAAATTAAAGATGGGATAACACTAATAAAAATCGTAATGTGAAGGTGTTTGTGCCTGCTCGTATATTTTAAAAAAAATATATGAAACAAGGATTGTCTCTTGCCAGAAAAGCTTGTTTTTTCCAAGTCTAAAATACTGGTACAAGTAATATGTACAGAGTGCAACCATTCACAGTTAAAGCTAAAATTGTGTCAGCACATATATGAGAAGTTTCTACATTCCAGAGGCCTTATAGCACTGGCAGAATATTTTTAAATAAACTTTACTTATTTATTTACATGTTTATTTGTTTGTTTTAATTTAAAGTTCTAGAACCCAGCAGGTTTAACCCAAATCTGGGGTGCTGGGACCTAGGGAAAGACCTGTACATATGATGTATATTTTTGTAAAGTTAAAAAACTCAGCCCAGTTCAAATTTACTGGAGAAATCATTTCACTGATTGAATAATCTTTGTCCCCACATGGTTTCTCATAATAAGATTTTCAATTACTCCACTGGAGGATATTGAGAGCATTTAGAAAAAGCTGCATTAAAAATGAAATAGCAGCATTGTTTAGACTTCTTAGCCAAAGGCTCCTGAGATAGTCCAAGCTCTAGAGCTATTTAGACTCTCAACTTGTCTATCTTAAAACAGGCTTTTACACAAATGGGATCCTCATTCAATCTGAGGTGCAGCAGACAACAGAAGCTGAGGTCTTAGTGCTCTTTCATGCGTCTACAACCTCTGTTACGATCACATTCTTTTCCTCACAGACACATTTCCCAAGAAGTAAAAAAGGAACGTAGACACTGGCAATCCTCTGGACAGAGCTTCACTACATTATCATAGGAAGCTTCCTGCTATTGAATTAGCAACAGACAGCGTTTATCACTTACATTTTCATGTGTTTTAAAGTATTTTAAAAATATCTTGATGATATTTCCCCTCTTAACTAAAATTTCCTGGCTGACCCATCCATCAAATGAACTGTATCTTTGACTATTTGGTAACATTCTAAACCGAATGTGAAATGGCAGTTATTTTATGCACAAAGATGTTCAGAAAGGAGATCTGCTTCCGCTAACGATGCCACATTTCTGGAACAATTTTCCTCAAGTCAAACTGGCAAGAAGGACCCGAATTCCATTAGTTGAAAATTTTCACCCTTTTGAAATGATTTAAGGGCCTGTCCTTAGTAATTGTGATTAAAGATGAATGTTTTGAAACTCAGTCCCATTATCCAAGGTGTATCTACCAGAGTCCTGCTAGAATTTTGAATAGACGGCGGAACAGCATACACGACTTCCACATACCGAAATGCCAATATATGTATTCAGCTTTGTAAATACACCTTTAAAAATACCTCTCCATATTTAGCCACTCCTAAATATGTATTTACACACGTCTACACACTGTAAGTGTTTACCTGGGAGACAGGAAAGGTCTCTCTGGTAAATAATATGGGTTTTATAGCCTTTCATGAAGGAATTTTTTGTTTGCTATGTAAAAAAATCAGCTCCTCTCAGTTATAATTTAATAAAATTTTTCTTTCCCTGTAAATTTACTGCATAGCACTTTAAGTAAAGCACTGCAATGTTTAGAAGGAAAAAAAAGACAACACTGGTGTTATCTTTGAGTACAGAGTGGCTTTGATTCATTTTGCTAAAAACTATAGAGGGCAGAACGCATGGATAGGATTTCTGAAAACCAAACAAATAAAAATAGCCTGTCAGATATATCTTAGAGCTAAGGCTATCGAGTAATTACCTATTTTTTCAGGTTAAAAAGAAATTGGGGCTACTGTGTGGCTAAGTGTCCAACTTCAGTTCAAGTCATAGTTCACAGTTCTGAGTTCGAGCCCCATGTCAGGCACTTTTCTGACAGCTCAGAACCTAGAGATTGCTTCGGATCCTGTGTCTCCCTCTCTTTCTGCCCCTCCCACCCCCTCTCTCTCTCAAAAATAAATAAACATTTAAAAAATTGTGTAATTAAAAAAAAAAGAAATCAGAATCTCTAGGAAGATCCAAATGATTTAGATTACTTTGCTCTGAATTTTGTAGATCATTGACTTAATTTTATACTTTATATTACACAAGTGCACGTAGGTGAAGTGTTATAAACTGCTAAGCAAAACTGTGTTAAATTCAACATATGAACAAATTCTTATAGAAAATCAGCATAGCCCAGTACAGCAGTCCAAGGACAGGAAATATTCAGTGCATACTCCTGGCTTACAAATACATGGCCTTGAGCAATTGAGTTGATCTGACTTATGCTTTTGAATTTGTAAATTAGGTTGTGATCTACCTAGATCTAATGAATGATGAATGTGCACTCATATATTATGTACTGAATACTAAGAGAGTAAAATATCTTTTTTAAAAAAGACACATTTCCTTATCCTTTTTTTAATTGAAAGATACAATGTGAAATAGAACATGATGCTTGGAATTAAAGAGACGTCCTATGATTTGATAAGTCCTCACAATCTATTCACCATCCCCTTTCCCACCTTCACTCTCCCCTTAGAATCTCAAGGCTTGAAATCACCTAACCTTAAGCAAGTGGACCCTGACTTTCATGAGCCACTTTAGGGTCCAGGAAATGGACATGGTTTACTTTGGAGTTCTTTCAAGTTTTGGGGTAGGTACCTTCTGAAGGTACCACTATCCTACTCAGCTCACTTCCTTCTAGAAGATAAATGTGCAGGATTTCCAGCAGCTTGTCTCTGGAACCACTGAAGATTTTCCTGTCATCAGTGGGCTTAGAGACCTACAAGAGAAGAACAAAAAGAGAAAGGCCCCTTACATGGATTCTAAAGACACTTAATAAATTACAGCTTTACAGTTAAAGGACTCTTCTTCTCTTTCTTTGTTCTGTGTCTTTCAAGAATTTTCCCTTTCAGAAGCTTTCTGTGCATGGGTGCTTGTACACAGAATATATGAGTTAGATTTATGTTAAGGAGGTGGGAAATATGGGCACTTTTGGCAAGCCCAGATACAGAAACATTGCAGGGCTTTTTTCAGGATAAAAATATACCAATTTTTTAATGGGCCCAATTATTTCATCCCCACATAAAATGCCTCTTGAAGTTCGTCAGTGCAAAACAGGTGCTTGTATGCCTTCCTACCTCATCTCTAAACACAGCTTTGAAGAGATAAAGTTTATACACACACACACACACACACACACACACACACACACACACACACGGAGGTGTGAAAATGTTTACATCTCAAATTCAGATGTCTTAAAGGACTTTACTTTTAAGACTTTTTCTTCCATTTATTCTTAAATTGTTGAAAGATGCATGCTATTATATTATAAAAGATTGGGGCGCCTGGGTGGTGCAGTCGGTTAAGCGTCCGACTTCAGCCAGGTCACGATCTCGCGGTCCGCGAGTTCGAGCCCCGCATCGGGCTCTGGGCTGATGGCTCAGAGCCTGGAGCCTGTTTCCGATTCTGTGTCTCCCTCTCTCTCTGCCCCTCCCCCGTTCATGCTCTGTCTCTCTCTGTCCCAAAAATAAATAAACGTTTAAAAAAAATGTTTAAATAAAAATATGATTTGTTTTACCTTTCAATGTACCAGAAATTTAAATACAATGATATTCTTGATGAACATGAAACAGGGGGTTTTACAACTTAGGTCACTAATTCCAATCTGATCCACAGAGTACTGAATACCCTCCAGCTGTCTATTAGGAGTATCTAAACTCAATGCAACAAATAAATATCTGATTATATTTTCATACAAATTTTATACCTATTCTACTAATTGAAATGGAACATAATATACTATCCATGTATTCAATTTACCCTTTTGGAAATTATTCTGTCATCTTACATTTTCACAAAAGGAATAGAAAATTCATTGTGTGCCAATAATACCCATACATATGCTCCAAAAGATACAAAAAATATATTCCCACCTTCTGAGTATGAACCAGCAGGATAGAATTCTCTCAGCTTCATCCTAGATCCTCACATACCTATGGACATGGCAGGTTAGAAGTATGACTCCTATGTACAGCAAATCCATTCTGGCCATAATGAATTGTGTCCCAGGGTACTGCAAGAACTAACAGATGAACAAAATCACTGACCCTTCATTGGAATCAGAGTCTGTCTGAAGAAGCAGTGACTTCTGTCTCTTAATATCCCTTAGACATTTGAGAAAATACAGTTTCTAATCATTTGCTTCTGACAGGTCACTCCACACCTTATCCCCATTAAGACTCAAAGACAAGTTTAGAGCATCAGAGTATGTGACAAGTACCTACTATGCTAAAACCTGCCTCTCCATCTCCTTGCCTGTTTTGCTAGAAACAAATGTACTCTTTGACTCTCTTCCCTAAGGGTTCTTTCCTGTAGCTATGGCAAGATTTCAGGATTCTTGAGTTTGGAGGCAGACTGAGACCTTCATCTTTTGGGGTGAGGGGTTAATTTGAAGGAAGCTCAGCTAGAATTAAATCACAACACTTTGTGTGGTTTCCAAATGTGAAATTCCCTATGTGATGGTCCTATTCCAGTGTGCACTGGTTACTTCCATCCTGGACGCTTTGTGCTTAGATCTTAATGCTACCTTATAAGACTGCACAGCACTCAGGGAACAGAATACAGGGTCAAAAAAAATACAACCATATCCTACAGAGTGCAGTTGAAAGCATTGGGACTGAGCTCAGAAAAAAAATAGAGGGAATCTGGAATTCCCTTCAAATATCTTTAAGACTATTATGCCGAAAATGGATCAGGCTTCTTCTGTAGCTTATTCTGGCTGAATATAAAGAACTTCAATGCGTTGTGCTTTCCCAACAAAGAAGGAACTGACTGCCTCAAGAGAACTTAGACAGCGTCCAGCACAGGCAGCCTCTTGGGAGTTAGGCTGCATGATCTTTCAGCCTCTTCCCAATGCTGAAGTTAAATGAATCTACAAAACTAACCCAGTCGGGAGAGTTCCAAGAGAACTCACAGAGCAGTTTCAGGACACTGTCAGAGTCATTCCAACTAGGTATATCTTCATTTTGGACCTTTCAAAACCCAGGATTTCTTTCCAGGAGGCTGAATTCCCTTGCACTGAATGTGACTAAAAATAATATGGATTCTACCATCAGAGAACCCTGGTTTGGAGTCCTGGCTCTCCCATTCTAGCAGTTGCGTAAATCTAGTAGTTGTGTAAATCTAGTTGTGAGGACGTCAATGAACCCAAGAATCTCAGTCATCAAACTGAGGATTATTGTTCCCATCTCACAGGGTAGTTGTGAGCATATTAAATCATCTGTTGCAGGTGCATAAGTACACGGTGCATGGCCTAAAAAGCCCACTTCTAGACTTCATGATAGAGGAAGGTCATACTGCAGTAAGTTCTGAATGCAATGAGCTCAGGTGATGTGTGTCAGGCACCTTCTTCTGAAAAGGTTCCTTTTTCCATTAAGAATACATATATTGGGGCGCCTGGGTGGCGCAGTCAGTTAAGCGTCCGACTTCAGCCAGGTCACGATCTCATGGTCCGTGAGTTCGAGCCCCGCGTCAGGCTCTGGGCTGATGGCTCAGAGCCTGGAGCCTGTTTCCGATTCTGTGTCTCCCTCTCTCTCTGCCCCTCCCCCGTTCATGCTCTGTCTCTCTCTGTCCCCCAAAAATAAATAAACGTTAAAAAAAAAAAAAGAATACATATATTTATGTTAGTCTGGAAAGAAAAAAAGATCCTACTGTGGAAATTGTGCTCTAAACATATAAAATGTGATAAATGAAATAATCACAGTGATGAGCTTCAACAAAATTTACATGAGATGAATAATGCAAAGGCAGAGGAAATTATTCTCTACTAGCAGCAGAAATCCTCTACATAGCACCCTCTTAATTTTGAGGTTCTGGGGCGCCTGGGTGGCGCAGTCGGTTAAGCGTCCGACTTCAGCCAGGTCACGATCTCGCGGTCTGTGAGTTCGAGCCCCGCGTCGGGCTCTGGGCTGATGGCTCAGAGCCTGGAGCCTGTTTCCGATTCTGTGTCTCCCTCTCTCTCTGCCCCTCCCCCGTTCATGCTCTGTCTCTCTCTGTCCCCAAAAAAATAAACGTTGAAAAAAAAATTAAAAAAAAAAAATGTCGAGGTTCTTCTAGTAATGCAGTCTATCTGATTATCATTGCTCCCTTATCTTTTTAAAATCAAAGCACCTAAGGATGAAAGTATTGGTCACAAGGATGATGAGAACTGCCTTAGTTCCTTCCTGAAGAGATAGTTTTCACTCTCATCAGATGACTCTTCGATTCCCCAAATAAAAGTTGTAATTTTCAACCAGGGGGTGATTATTTTCATATATAAATAGTTAGTTTGATCCAATTAAACTTCTGAGTTTATTAACTAGTTAGTCTGTATTAGATAATCCGTAGCTATAATTATTATACACCATTATCTCTGTATTTAATCAACTTTCAGGTATTAAGCCTATACTTCACACGGCTACTCCTTTGAAAGTGGAATCAAAGATCTTTGATCTGGTCAGTCTTTACAACATGCATGGTGTAATTTTTTTTTTAAATTTTTTAAAACATTTATTCATTTTTGAGAGAAAGAGACAGCGTGTGAGTGGGGAGGGGTAGAGAAAGAGAGAGAGAGAGAGGGAGACACAGGATCTGAAGCAGGCTCCAGACTCTGAGCTGCCAGCACAGAGCCCGACGCCGGGCTCGAACTCACCGACCATGAGATCATGACCTGAGCTGAAGTCAGATGCTTAACCAACTGAGCCACCCAGGAGCCCCACATGGTGTATTTTTGACGTGAATCTATACTTTTACCATCCCCTGAAGGACACTAATAGCTGCTTCTGGGTTCTTTTCAGTTCAAATAGGAACTTACATACAATTTACACTGAATTAGTAGTGTTGGTTATAGTTCTTGCTAAAAAGATTCTGTGTGCCCAGGAAGGGACAATGAGATTGGATGGAAACATTTACTCCTAACTTAGATGGGTAACTTTACATACACAGCTAAGTTAGGCAACCTTTTCGATGGCTGAATTCCCTCAGGCAGTCTGGTCACAATACATGACTTCCCGCGGCATCCAAAGATGCCTGACTTTCAACTTGGGAGAGGATGGCAGTAGGGAGCTCATGTTCCAGGAACACAATTCTCTAGCCCCAGTACAAATGCTCCTGTTCACCGGAGAGGATGCAAAATATCTGAAAGCCAAGGCTCCGGGACAGTCCTGGCTTCCTGCCCTACTTTCATGTGGCAGTAATTTCCCTACACAAGAGGCAGAGGGCCTGTCCTTGACACAGTGTCTGCCTTGCCTCCCACACACAAACCCGCAAGAAAGTCTGACCCAGCAAGTATTAAGAGAAAAGCCCTGACCTGACCACACAGCAATTCTGGGACATAAGCAGTAGCCACTGCCATGCCCCTGGCAAGGGTTTCACTGCATCCAACTGAAAGTGGGCATAATAAAATTCCTTTGTCAGGAGTCCCAAAGGAGTGCTGGCAATTGCCTGTATATTGTCCCCTTGGTAGGAAAGACTACGAACAGCATGAAATCTATGCTTTGGCAGCAAGAGAACTTGGTGCTAGCATTTTTCTAAACTGAAACAAGACGAATGAGTTGGCCTGACACTTCCAAGTTATCTGATATGTTAAAATCACCTCTAAAAATAAAAACAGGGGCGCCTGGGTGGCGCAGTCGGTTGAGCGTCCGACTTCAGCCAGGTCACGATCTCGCGGTCCGCGTGTTCGAGCCCCGCGTCGGGCTCTGGCCTGATGGCTCAGAGCCTGGAGCCTGTTTCCCGATTCTGTGTCTCCCTCTCTCTCTGCCCCTCCCCCGTTCATGCTCTGTCTCTCTCTGTCCCAAAAATAAATAAACGTTGAAAAAAAATTTTTTTAAATAAAAACAAAAGACTTGAAGAAAATTACAAATCTTACGAAAGGAAAAAGATGGTTAGAAAAACTTTACATTTGTAAAGGATGGTGTTAAAGCATATTGGGAAGGTTTGAACAGAGGAAACAAAGAATTGTGGACACCTAAGTTGTCTTAGTCTGTTCAGAATTCAAGAACTGAGGGGATGGGAGGAACAAACTCCCATGATAATTCAGAGAGTACTTACTTGCAATTGGTCAAAAGTCTCTTATTCAGTAAGTTATTGCAAAGTTCAGTAAATACCAGGCACTGAACTTAGGCACTAAACAAACACAAATATAAACAGATGCTGCCCTCACAAAAATCTATTCACAGAAACAAGGCATATGCCCTCTGGATAGCAAAGGATACATGGCAAAAACTAGAGAAATTTGACTGAAAATATTTAAAATGATACATATTCTAGGGAAACATTCATTTATCTTTTAAAAAAAACTTTTTTAATGTTTTATTTTTGAGAGAGAGACAGAATGAGAGCAGGGGAGAGCAGAGAGAGAGGGAGACACAGACTCTGAAGCAAGCTCCAGGCTCCAAGCTGTCAGCACAGAGCCTGATGCGAGGCTTGAACCCACAAACTGTGAGATCACGACCTATGCCGAAGTCAGACGCGCAACTGACTGAGCCACCCAGATTCCCCTATCTTTTTTTTTTTTAATGTTTCTTTATTTTTGAGAGAAAGAGACAAAGCGTGAGCAGGGCAGGGGAAGACAGAGAGGGAGACACAGAATCTGAAGCAGGCTCCAGGCTCCAAGCTGTCAGCACAGAGCCCGACACAAGGCTCAAACCCACCAACCAGGAGGTCCTGACCTAAGCCGAAGTTGGATGCTTAACTGAGGGCACCCAAGTGCCTTCATTTATCTTTTTTTTTTTCCCCAGAAAATGTCTCCGTGTGATACCAGGCCTTCATTTTTTTTTCCCCCTCTCCACCTTGGTAGATTGCATTATTGATCAGAGACACTGTTTCAGTTTCCTACAAGGTCTCGATCATTGTTACCTCTCTTTTTTCCTAACTGGCTTCTGACTTATGACCCAAAGAAAACAGGCATAGCCCTAGAAGAGGTTCAAGTTCTAAGCAACACAAACACAATACTTCTTCCCAAAGGAATGTTTTGGGATTTCTTTCATGGAAATATTGTGTTTCCCAAAGAACCCAAATGAGTATAGAGGATGGTTTTGCTCATGGTCACCACTAATCTCAGGGAGCACAGATCTTGGGAATACAAAGACGAATACAGGCAAAGCTTCCAATCTCTAAGTTCCTGGTACCATGTGATAAAGCCACTTCATTATTTGCCATCTAATTCAATCTCAAACTGAATTTGATTTGAAAAACACAATGTTTATTAGATCAAAAACCTGGAGATGCTTTACAAAATACAAGACAAGGATATATGAAGTATGTATTAGCCAGGCATAGTGACACTTTAAAAGAGAGTACAAAAATGTGTAAAGCTTTTCCCTAATATGCCCAAGATTTTAAAAGTAAAATGAAGAACCTGTCAATGAGTCTGAAACTGAACCACTCAAACCAGGCTCAATGTTTATAGATGATGAAGAGCCAAACCAATAATAATATTGTGGCATTGATTCTTTATGGTCTCAGTCACACCCACCTCATCACTTAATATATTTTTTCTCCTAACATGTGTTCAATCCTGTTTGACGGCTTGGCTCACAGCTTAGATAATGAAGCCAAACCATATCCCTTTGGTTGGTCTCAAGCTTGGCTGGACTTTCAATGACTTCCACATATTAAGAGCCAATCTTACAAAAAGCTTAATATAATCATAAAGCCACCTACCTAACAAGTAATAATCAGCATTTCTTGATTAGTTGTATAACCTAGTCACCACGTTTAGGGCTTTACACACAATGTGTCCTGTAATCCTCACAAGAACCTGCTGAAGTAGGTAGCATTTGCTCCATGCTAAAGATAAAGGATTTGAGGCAGGGAGGTTAGGACTCTTCCAAAGTTACATAGTTAGCAAATGGTGGAAACTTGACTCTGTCAGTTCCATCAAAACTGCTACAGATCCACAGGGTGTTGTTGTTTAGCTATACTTTGAGGCAGATTTCATGACTCACTTTTGGAAACGTGGAAAGCTTCACATCGCTGCATCATATGAAGACTGGCCAGCATTTCTGAGACATCTGACTATGAAATAATTCACTCACCTTCAGATGGTACAGAGGTCTCATGTTCACAAACATGCAGTCAACGACGAACTCCCCACCCTCTGCCACCACCTGCCACCACCAACAGCAAAATTGCTGCACACCCACACTATTGATTATTTCTTCTGACTTGCAGGTTTTTGGTTTTTTGTTTGTTTGTTTATTTATTTTTGAGACAGAGACAGAGCATGAACGGGGGAGGGGCAGAGAGAGAGGGAGACATAGAATCGGAAGCAGGCTCCAGGCTCTGAGCCATCAGCCCAGAGCCCGACGCGGGGCTCGAACTCACGGACCGCAAGATCGTGACCTGAGCTGAAGTTGGACGCTTAACCGACTGAGCCACCCAGGCGCCCCTTGTTTCTTTTTTAATGTAGTCGACGTAGTACGGTGTCCCTTCTTGGCAGATATTGGGGGCAGGGTTACACAAATTGTGAGTTACCTCATGCCAAACCAGAAATAGCCCTGGTCCTCCTATCCCTGAACTTCAAAGCCAGCTCATTCTCTGCTGCCGTGGTGACTCTGCAGCGGTCACGGGCATGTAGCCTGGGTGGTCCCCCATATGCAAGCATTCCTTGAGCCAGGGAGCAACCACATCCCTGGTTCTGGGGAGAGGAAGGCAAGTGAGGAAAAGATAGAGCTGATAAATATACCCTGGCTTCCCCAAACTCTCCCTTGGAGAAAGTCAACTATATATGAGCCCAATGTGCTTGCACAAGGCAAAGTGTTTCAACAGTACACCACCGTCTCACACTGCCTAGTCCTTCGTGACTACAAGTTCTAATTCTAGCTCTGTCACTTACAAGCCCCAATTCTCAGCTCTTTCCGCCCATCAGTATTTTTCATTCTTTGTTTCTCTGGGTGTTGTACACTGGGCTTATTTGTTTGTTCATTTCCTGAATATACGAAAAATATAAAGTACTTCTTCCACATTTCTTCAGCATCTGACTGTTAGACAAAAGTACTAATTGATAGTAAGCAAGTACTCAAGAGTATTCAATTGGAAATCAGCTTTTGCATCTTGGAGACAGCAGACAAGAGGTTCCATGGAGGGACTAGACTCACCTCAGGCATATCTCTTCTCAGGAGAGAGAACAGAAAGTTGTTACACTCAGGATAACACTTCAGGAGAAGCAGGAACTTAGCAGCAACACTATCCCAGCCAAGCATTTGGAGAATCCTCTTTCTCCAGTCTGCTGCGGGGTTTTAACATGAGGGAAATTATCCAGAAAGGCCTGGTTGAGACAGAGAATCACCAGCCTAAGCAGCTCTGGTGGGGCAGGTTTCTTTTCTTTAGGAAACTCATAAAGGAACCAACCAGTCCTGGTGTTGAAAAGAATACCAAGGTTCCCTGAACTTAAAAAAAAAAAAAAAAAAAATGGTGTCTGGATGTTCTACAATCATGGGCTGCAGGGTTGGGAGGAAGAATTGGCTTTCCTTTGAAATGAGAAAATCCATTTAGCACCTTTGTTCGACAGGCACAAGGAGCAGATCCCATGGTCACAGTTGTTTTATCTAATTTTTTTCGTCCCGGTTTCCTTTGTTGTGAGTTCCAAGCTGCTTTGCACTCTTCCATCCTTTACAACTATTGAGTCTCTTCTACAGATCTGTAAAAATAAACAGGCCATTTCCAGATTACCAGCCAGCGACACCACATCCTGTGTGAGAGCTGATGATAAATAAGAGTGAGGCAGGTAGTCCCCCAGACACATCTGGGAAGCATCCTCTTCTCTGAACAGAAGCACACAGCATTCAATTCTAGCCAAAGCTTGTTTGGCCTTGTGGTCTGCTGAGTTGAAATGGTTATGCCATTTTTTTTTCCTGAATCTAAAGATGATGTTTTCATCTGACATTTTTCCTTTTTTTAAATTTTGGTATATAAAAAGTAACTCCCCCAGGGGAAACTCTATTGGCTTTAGCCATGAGTCCCAGGTGTATCCTAATTAGCTCTAAAACTTATTAAAAAAAAAAACCTTCAAGTTGAAGACAGCTAAAGAACTAGCAGCCACAGTTTGGGCTAATTAACTCTTCTGGTAACATCTACTGACTGGAAACTGTGGTCTCAAAGATTCTGTGATGCAGTAGCTACCCAGGATCTTATCTGCACTTTTAACTTCTTTTAAATTAATCAGCTTTATAATGATTAGCAACCTGAAATTATTTTTAGCTCTAGTTCTTATTTATTCTTTTCCCCTATTCCATTGATGTATTCTTTGCTTTCTCCTAGCTAAACCCTCCAATCTCTACTAATATGTAGGAATTTCATGAACCTAGCATCGCTCTCTCTTCTCCCAAACAGGCACAAACATACACTGAGGGGTAAGTGTAAGGAATAGTCTTTCTTTTGCATCCTTCACTTAGCATTTTCAGAATCGAGAGCAGACTAAGGATGGGCAAAGACAGAAGTATTGCCAGACTCCACTGTTGCAGAGAATTCTCATATTACTCCATGGAATCTTAAGCTGCCCTCCCCATCTTCCCTAACTCCTCAAGGGAATGTTGTTTCCACTCAGAGCAGTCTCTTGGTAGCTGATCTACAGTAAAAGAAAAACCACACCTGTGGTTATATGATGGCCCGGGAGGGACTAGCTATAGATCCTTTAATCCTGCCCATCCTTCTGGGCTAGCCTGTGACAGTCAGCAACTGGGCATGGAAAGACTGCAATAAAAACACACTCAATCCCACTGACCTGTCTCCCACCACCTTGTAAGGAAAGGTGTCCTTTCAAGTCAGCCTATGTTTTATCCAGCATATAATTTACATGGCCTCAGCAGGCTATTCAGAAGACTTAGACAAAAAATAAGAGGTTTCTAATCTTCTACTGAGGAAAAGGAATATTGGCCCAGAAATCAAAAGAGCTGGCCTCTAATCCCTTCTCTGTCATTAACTAGTTTTGTGACTCTGGAGAAAACAGTTTCTTCACGTGAACAGTAAGCCTCATTTACATTCAGAGGATTCTGAAGGCCCCTTCCACCTATAAAGCTTCTGTGAAAGAATGTACTCTTCCATTTGCTCCTTTGAAAACCACCTGCTATAACTGCTAACTTCTTTCCACATATAACATGGAGAAATCAGGCTCAAGGAAATCCAGAATTACATTTCATACAGAACCTTAAGGGAATTTTATTTTCTTTTTTAATGTTTATTGATTTATTTTGAGAGACAGAGAGAGAGAGAGCATGTGAGTGTCATCAGGGGAGAGGCAGAGAGAGAGAGAGGGAGAGAGAGAATCCCAAGCTAAGAATCTCTTCACTGAAAGCACAGAGCCCGATGTGGTGCTCGAACCCATGAACTGTGAGATCATGACCAGAGCTGAAGTCAAGAGTCAGATGCTTAACAGGCTGAGCCACCCAGGTGCCCCTGGAATTTTCAAAGACCAATGTTCACCACTGTTTTCTGAAATCAGAGAACTCTTACAGGCCAATGCTGGTTATAAGACCTACATGAAGTAAAATATCATTTTTCTGATATACTGATCACTAGTCAGAAGGTTAAATTCAGATTTCCCAAAGAAGCAATAAAGCAACTCTAAACGTAAACGTTGAACTAAAATAAATAAATGTGACTATAAAAATAGAAATACCAAATGACCATTCTACTCCTTATTTTGTGCCAGACATTGTGCTAGAAACTTCTGCCTGTGTTACCTCAGCTTAGCGTTATACACACACTCAGTTCTATCATCCTTTTCTGCAATTATCCCCCTAGGCCAGCCTGCCATATGTCCACCTTATGCCCACAGATATTGTATAAGGCAAAACCTTTACACACAACCAGTTCAAACCCATCCTAGGATTTCCATAGCTTTCATCTCAACACAGTACTTCCTGGAAGGAGGAAAAGAGTTCCATGTTTGTCAAAAAGGAAGAAGTCTCAGTGTTTGCCTTTTCCTGGTACACTTCCTTCAAGTCTCTGGGAGTGTTTTATCTACACAAGGAGGGTCACTCTAATGTCTGGATCAATATCTGTAAAAGCTTTTAAGCTGTAATAACGATGATCTTCAGCACTCAACATATCCTGACAAGACCCTCTCCATGTCAAGTGAAGTGGGTAAATTCTTAGCTAGGGATTTTTAGACCCACTCCTTGGCTACCAGTACTTTTAGTAGAAAAGTCCATAATCATTAAGCCAAAATGTTAAGGGGACAGGCATTCCCAATGATAGTTTTAATTTCCTTTAAATCCAACCAGCACAAACTTCATCACTACATAGTTGCTAACTAATGAGTTGAATTTTGGCAGCCCATTAATCTTAATTTTGTAAACATTGATTTTTTCCCCCTAGGTTTTGAATGGAGCTAAAATTAGCATGAGTTTTTGTTTTGTTTTGTTTGGGGGGTCTTTTTTTAGTATAACCTCCATTTCAACTTCCTGCTACTGGATATTTTATTACAACAAACAGCTCTATCCTTGACCAGGGTCTAAAAAGAAGTCAGAAGAGTTCTGGGAATAATGGTCCCACCTCTCATCTTGTTTCACACACTTCCCCTGTCCCTTCTGGGACATGGAGCCACCATTGACTTCTAAGGAAATTCACTTGAGGCTCAATTAAAACTATGGGGCACAGAGAAAAAGCAGCATGTCCTCACCTTTTCCTCTCCAGTAAGATCTGTTTCCAGGACCAATCCTATATAGGAGGACTTTTGAGGGCTTTGTGGTATAAGACAAAACTGGGAAGTTCATGCCAGCACTCGTTCATTTGACAACTGCTGGTTCAACTCAAGTTTCTCTCATAAATGTAAATGCCTAAAGATTCAAACTGGAAGGATCTCTCCCACCAAAGGGAGTGTTCATGGATACCAATCTTTCCCCAGTTCTCTCTGGCTTCTTAGCCATTGCCATTTAGCAAACAGTTTAGGGAACAGCAGTTTTATTAGTGTTGGAGACATGCGGTATGAACTACATTCTTTTCAGTTAAGCTATCTGAAAGAAGGTTATTTCACATCACCCATTTTCTCATTATGCTCTCTCTTCAGCGTGTTCTCAACTACAACAGGCTATCCATCTTTCCTTCTTCCTTTTTCCCCTTTGATAGCCTATTCTAGAAGGCTTTGAGTCCTTTCTCCTTATTTTCCTCAGAACTACCATAATGCAGCCTCCAAGACCCTCTCTTCCTTCCTCTATTATATGCCATCAGTCAGTTGCCATTACTTCATATTTCTACTGATAAAATACCAATCCAATCTCTGATAATTATCTGATAACTTATGACAAACCAAACAATCACATTTCTTCCTTTGAAGCATCCTGACATTTATCACTTGCCTTCAAGATTTCATGTTACTCACTGAAATTCTAAAAGCCGTCACCAAATCAGTCTTGGGGAAGGGGAGAGCCTCTCCAGGCAGAAGGCTCTATTTGTGGCAATGAAGAATGAAGTCCCCATGCTCAGACAGCAGACAGCCATGTATAAATCTTAATTCTGCTACATATAAGCCATGTGTCCTCGGTCATGGTACATAAGCCCAGAAACAGTGGCCCAGATGGGGCGCCTGGCTGGCTAGTCAGTTAAGCATCTGACTTCGGCTCAGGTCATGATCTCAAGACTCATGGGTTTGAGCCCTGCATCAGGCTCTGTGATGACGGCTCACAGCCTGGAACCTGTTTTGGATTCTGTGTCTCCCACTGTCTCTGCCCCTCCCTGACTCACACTCTTTCTCTCTCTCCTTCAAAAATAAATAAATATTTTTTAAAAATTAAAAAAAAAAAAAAACAAAAAACAGTGGCCCAGAGTCTGAACAGAATAGAGCACATTTAACAGTCAGGTTCTGAATTTTGCTGAAGCAGAGTAGAAATATTTCAAATCTACATCCACTGGAAGACAGAGTGGGATCAGCTTATATTAACTTCACTGGGTATGGGCTTTCACTCTGGATTTCTTGTTGTAGTCCAAGTGTGACAAAGAAGTTTCGTCAAAATCATCTCCTAGCAATTGACAGTGGTTCATTAGAACTCTGTGTTGAGGATTCTGAGGCCACTGGCTCTTAGGGAAACAAAGCATGATTGATTATTAATGTCTGACATGAGGAAGGAGAAAAAAGGTGACTTATGTGTTTACGTCTGCCATCCAGGCAATGTAAACAATGGAGGTCAAGGAGGGCAATTTCAGCCAAAGAGTGACATGATAAAAGAGATGTTTTAGAAGATCAACTTGGCAACAGATCATAGGATGGGCTGCCGAGAGGGAGGTCAGGAAAACCAATTTGGAGGATTTTGCCAAACCCCAGACAGCAAGCACTGCAAACAGAAAAGAAAGGAATACATTTAAGAGAATGTAGGAACAAATCAATATACTTAGCATGACTTCTAAAGAGCCTTTAAGCTGACGGTATTTTTTCATAGATTTTATTTTTTTTAGAGCAGTTTTGGGTTTACAGCAATATGCAACAAAGGGTACTGAGGTTTCCTATGTAATCCCTGCCTCCCCCATTATCAATATCCTCCACCAGTGTGGCACATTTGATACAACTGATGAACCCACACTGCCACATCATAATCACCCAAAGTCCATAGCTTACGTTAGGATTCACTCTTGAAGCTCTACATTCTATGGGTTTGGACAAACGTATAATGACATGTATCCACCATGATAGTCACATACAAGGTAGTTTCAATGCCCTAAAATTCTTCTGTGCTCTCCCTATTGCCTCCCCACTAGCCCCTGACAACCACTGATCTTTTTACTGTCTCAACAGTTATACTTTTTTCCAGAATGTCACAGAGTTTGAGTCATATAGTATATAGCTTCTTCAGAATGTCTTCTTTCACTTAGTAATATGCATTTAATGTCCCTCCATTGGAATAAGCTTGGTAGCTCATTTCTTTTCAGGCTAAATAATATCCCATTGTCTGGATGTACCACAGTTTATTTACCTACTCAAGAACACTTCAGTTGTTTCCAGGTTTTGGCGATTATGAATAAAGCTGCTATTATCATTAATGTGCAGTTTTTGTTTCTTTTGAGTGAGAGAGAGCGTAAGAGGTAGGGGGAGAGTGAGAGGGAGAGACAGAATCTTAAGCAAGTTCCATGCTCAGCACAGAGCCCAATGCAGGGCTTGATCCCACAACCCTGAGATCATGACTTGAACTGAAATGAAGAGTCAGATGCTTAACCAATTGAGCCACACAGGCACCCCAATGTGCAGGGTTTTGTATCAATGCAAGTATTTAGCTCTTTGGGGTACATCACCAAGCAGCACAATTGCTAGATCACATAGTAAGAGTATGTTTAGTTTTGTAAGAAAGTGGGAACTTGTCTTCCAAAGTGACTATACCAACTTGCTTTCCCACCAACAACAAATGAGAGTTCCTACTTCTCCACATCCTCACCAGCATTTGGTGTTGTCAGTGTTCTGGATTTTGACCGTTCTAGTATGTTATCGCATTCTTGTTTTCATTTGCATTTCCTTTTGGCATATGATGTGAAGTAGTTAAGGCATTTTGATTCTTGTGAAGGGTACCACATTGGCTATTTCTTACATTAGCAAAGATTCATTTATTTCATTCATCCATTGCCCAGCACTGTAACCTAGCAGATAGCAAGATAAGATGGCATTTGAAATACAATACAGGTAAGTTTTGACAAATGACAGATAAGTAAAAACTTGGATGAGGTACATTCCTAACATTGGTAAGTATTTTGGTAAACACAGTAAAGCTTTACCCTGGTAAAGCAGAGACCCTCAGAGACCCCCCAATGACCTTGGGCAGAGGTGTGAGAAGACACTGAAAATGAATCTTGCCTTCTTCATAATTTTGACCAGCAGCTCTGGCCCTTTCTTAGTTCACTCACTTTTGTCTCTCCTTCTTGTGATAGGTGACCATGTGTATAAGGTACATCATGGCAGTTATACCAGATGTAAAGACACAAGGCTGGTGCCAGGTCTTATTTTAAGGACAAGTTTTTTAAAAGGCCCCCTGGAGGATAGGGCTGAGGAAAAAGGAAGACACTAACTATAATCACTCACACTGCAAATGTATTTGTTAATTTATTGAGGGTCCACTATATATGAAACTCTGAACTAAAAACCATTTCAGACAAGATTGGGCACATTCAGGGTGCTATGGCCATAGAGACATTTTTTATTTGCCATTTGATTTCAAATTTGGCCCGTTGCTTGTGCAGTAGTGTGTTGTTTAATATTTACTTTAAATATTTAATATTT